TAAGTGTTTCCTCAGGGACGCAAGCCCAGGTCTGGCACCCCGAGGCCCATGCAGGTACTTTGCTTCCTTCCTCCCAAGGACCCCCTCCACCCACCACCTGTGGTTACTGGAAAGAGCTGCAGGTGAGCAGGGAGGCAACAGGAGAGGGCGGGGACTGGAGGCGCTGAGGCCACCTCATCTGCAAATATGGCCTGTGGGTCTCATTCTTGGTGCCCAAGCCAGACCTTATCCAGTACTTTTCTTCCAGTCTCCTCCCTCCCATTCTCCATTTACCATCCCATCCCTTCCCTGGGAAAGGAAGCACTGCACTCTGTTGATATGCCTGGACTCTGAAATTGCAGACTTAAGGAGGGTTCATTGAGGAGCTGCTAATGGCTGTAGCCATTTAGCCCTGAATGCAAGTATAACCACTTAGCAGGTGTACGTTTGTGTGTCTGCCGGTTCCTTTAAGGCTGTAAATAACACCTGGTAGCGTGGGGGGAGCGGGGGGAGGCTTCGTTCAACATCCTGCTGGGTTTTTATTGAATTATCCAAATAGACCCCATTTCAGCTGCGCTCTAGTGATCAAACCTTGCCCTTATTTCCTCCTCAGCTCTGCCATCATCACTAGGGACTTTCAGCCATGTGGGCATAAACGGCAGTGGGCAGAGAAACAGCCTTCTCCCAAAGATGGGAAATTATTGGTAATGTAATTGTAAGACTACTTCTGGGCACCAATACGCCTGCCTGCTTCCTGTTCACCAGCCTTTAAGACAGAGCCTTTAAGAGGGAAAGAGCCAGTGGCGTGTTCGCAGAAGGTGGCTTTACTGCCCTGGTGTCCTAGGAACCACGGGGCCAGCATGACTGCCAGCCTCAGACCAGCCTGCTCTCCTCAGACCCGGGTCAGGCCTCAGGCGCTCCTTTCATCTCTCCAAACCTGGAGCCTTGGGGATTTCTCAGGCCTGGTCTGCAGGCGGCAGGGAAGGGAGGCAGTGCCACCACGGGCAGGTGGCTGCCCCAGCTCCCCTCCCCAGGTCCCCTCCGCTCCCTGCGGCTCCTGACCCCTGAAGCCGCCCTGCTGCTGCTGCAGCCGGGCACCCTACAAGCGGGACCACAGGCCCTGCTGGAAGGGCCCTGGGCGTCAGAGAGTGGAGCCCCAACTGGGTCTCTGACCTCCTCAAGGCTTCGGAGCCCAGGAATAACCTGTTAACTTCTTCCTTTGCCACCGGGAGGAGGTCAACAGCCCCTTTCAGGGTTTGACGAAAGGGATCTCACCTTGCACTGGCATGTCTTCGACCCTGGGGAAAGGAATGCTTGTTCAGCGAAAGGGGTTTCTGAGCAGGTGCTTCACTTTGACTTGGGACGGAGTGGTATTTTAGGGCTGCTTCTTTCCCCGGATGTCAAAGACTGACCCGCAGACAGCCGAGGTGTCCCCCTTAAAGATACCTGGGTGGCAGAAGGATCAAAAGCCAGGTGCCAGGACTGTCCCACTCCCTCACCTCCTTCCTTTAAAATGAACTCTTCGTCCCTAGCTGGTGAAGCTAAGACATGGGACCCAGGGCCACTTCTCTCACAGCGTGGCTGCCCCCTCTCCCTTCCAGGGCCCTGTGACCTTCCCCCTCTGGGCAGCAGCCATGGCCTCCCAGCTCCACTCAGCCCTGCCAGGCGCCAGGTTGGAGTCAGAAGTGTGCGCTCCAGGCATTCTGTTCTCAGGAAGGTGCAAGGGAGGCGTGGGTGCGGAGAGGGCCCCCAGGAAAGGCCAAGGGACGGGAGCCAGCCTTTACCTTTTTACATAAGTGTGAAGATGATAATTAAATGGTACATTGTAAATGATATGACAGCTCTAGAAGGCTTTGTAAACCTCTTTAGAAATGTGAGGTCTTTTCACTTTATTACTGTGATATCAGGGGGAACTATTCACTAATGCTCGCTGAGCAATAGAGGAAGAAGAAGAAAAGCAAAAATTTACTTTGGGTAAAATTCATTCCATTGCTAGCCATTTGTGCAAGTTACTTCCTATTTATGCTTAATGACCATGAACTAGGATAATGACGAGACTGACTGATGTGGGATTGATAAATCTTCTGAGTTTATTTTATCACAACACCTACTTTCTAAATGTGTGTTCTGAGGTTGTCGTTTGTGTCACCTTGTTCTTTGGGAGTCAGTCTTCCCACACTCTCCAACAACTGGCAGCAGCTTGGGCCTTGAGCCTGAGCAGATAGAAGCCTGTTCAGTGTGCTCCGGAGAAACAGGAAGCTGAGCCGGAGTGGGATTCCCTCAGCCTCGGTTCTGATTGAGCACAGATGTTGCCTGGACCTGGTAGCAGGTGTGGAGAAGAAAGCATGCATTTGAGGTGTGTCTGTGAGGTGATTTGTTAATGCAGGTGTAGGGAAAATGGAGGAGTCGCCCAGCCCTCGAACTTCCAGCTTGGATCATTGAATGGATGGTCTCACTATAAACTGAGCCAGAAAACACAGGAGAGGTGAAGATGTCAGGTTCAGCTTTGGACTCATTGAAGTGGGGCTCCTGTAAGATATCTGATGGACAGTCCATCAGCAGTTGGATGTTCACTTTGGAAACTTGGGCAAGAGGTGAGGGTTAGAGACAAAGCTGTTGACAATAAGTATGTGGAAGTTGAAGTCCTAAGACCCAGGAAGACTGTGCATGAAAAGAACAGTGAGCTGACAACAGGACCCCGGGGAAACCCACAGGGGACACACTGAGATGTAGCCAGAGAAGACACAGATTCTGCAGAACAGCTCACTGTCTATGAGGTGTTTTTGAAGGGAGAGTGATTCAAGTGAAGGAGAATGAGTATATGTCATTCCCATCTGAGCTGTACAATCTTCCAAAATAAATCATGGTCAAAAAGTTCTTGCTAATTCTCTCTAAGGAAATTGGTAGAAGTTTACATTCTCATTGAAGATTCATTGAGATGGTCCTGGCTGGCGTGGCTCAGTGGGTTGAGTGCCGGCCTGCGAACCAAAGGGTCAGTGGTTCAGTTCCCAGTCAACGCACATGTCTGCGTTGTGGGCCAGGTTCCCAGTAGGGGGCGCTTGAGAGGCAACCACACATTGATGTTTCTCTCTCTTCCTTCCCCCCACTCTCTAAAAATAAATAAATAAATAAAACCTTTATTTAAAAAAGATTTATTGAGATGTATTAGGAAGTTGCATATGGGCTGCTCAGACCTCCAGTTTTCACTGCTTGGACCCCCTTGGAACAGCCCCCGGAACTCAGCCAGCCCTCCTGTCCCCAAACCTTGGGGTAGTACTCCCTGGATCCCTGCTCCTGCTGCTCCCACAATAAGCACCTCTATGCCCTCCCCCTCATTAGGCTGCTTCTATCTAATAAAGTAGTAGAATCATTGTTTAAGTTCAAAGAGCTCAAAAGGCTATTCAGTGATAAGCAAATCCCCCTCCTCTGCAGGCCCCTAATCCTCAGTTCTCTCCCCCCTCACACTGCAAAGCAACTCCTGTTCCCAGTGTCGAGCCTGTGCGCCATTCTCCTGGAAATACCGGCCCGTAGGCCAGATTCAGCCAATTTTCTGTTTTCGTAAATAAAGTTTTATTGCAGCACAGCCATGCCCACTCCTACACTGTCTGGTAGCTGCTCTCCCACTACAACAGCAGAGTTGAGTAGCTGTGACAGAGAAAGGGAAGTTTTGCCAACGTGCTCTTTGTGTGTGAACACCTGTGTGTATAGTCTTTTTCGGATGCACGTGAGCACCCTACACATAATTCTGCATTTTGCTTATTTCTAGTTCACAATATATCATGGAAATTGTTCCACACGGGCACATCCAGATTTGTCTCAGACTTCTTCACATAGTGTGGATGTCATTAATCCATTCCCGGTTGAAAGATGTTTTAGTGCTTTTCAGTCTTTAGCCTGAACAGGTAACACTGCAGGGAACCTCTTGTGCTCGCCCCTTCCTTGCGCACATGAACCCTCCCAGGCGGGTACATTTAAGACTGAGAGACAGTGCCTGACTGTCCCCCAGGTAGTTTTCCCCCTGCCCTCCACGAGAGTCGCGTTCTTTTCACCGTAAGGGCTAAATTGCTAAACGCTGGTGAGGAAATGGAGGCTAATAAGTAAAAAATAAAGGAACGTGCAGGATTACCAAATTTGATGATCTTTACAAAATTTTACAGTCTGTAATACCTACTATAGCTCCTTTGGGTGTCTGCCCACTGCTCTTATTTCTGAAGATAGTCTTAGTCTCTGCAGGCCGCTTTAACAAAATACCAGAGTGGCTTGTAAACAGAAACTTACTCCTCACAGTTCTGGAGGCTGCAAGTCTGAGGTCAACATAACGGGGTTCTGGGGAAGGCCCCCTTCCAGGTGCAGACTGCTGACTTCTTGCTCTGTCCTCACATGGTGGAAGGGACGAGGGAGCCCTCTGCGGTCTCTCCTTATGAAGGCACTAGTCCCATTCATGAGGGGTCCACTCTCATGACCTAATCAACCTTGTGATCCAAAGGTCCCACCTCCAAATACCATCACATTTAGGGATTAGGTTTCAACATAGGGATTTGGGAGGGGACACATTAAATCTATAGCAGTGGGATGCACTGGGTTTTCCCCATCTGGCCTCAGAGATAGATCTAATCAGGATCCGAAGGTACAGTCAAGACTGATACTTCTTTTAGTCTTAGGTGGGCCATTTGCATCTCCAAAGTTCTCTTAGTGACATCCATTTTTCTAGACCTCTGTCCAAACCACAGTACTCTCTTCCCAGATATGCTAAGCAGACAATATAAAATTTAGTAGTTTGTTATTTTCCATTCTATCGGTAAGCAGCATCTCTCAAAATTAGATCTAGTTAACACAGAATACCACAAAACACCATTTTCATTTCCTTATTTCTGGATTCTTTAAGGGCAAGAACTTTGTTTTATTCAACTTTGGGCCCAGCATTCTGCCAGCATGTGATAGGCACCAAGCGGACTTCAGTTGAACTGAAGTAAGTTTCTCTTAATGTTTTATTCTGAATTATTCGTTTTGCTTCTTACAGAATGAAGATATTCAGATGTTGTTTTAAATACCTCCTACAGCAGAAAGTTTTCATCCTGTTTTTAACCCTGTGGCTGCTCTCCTTGTTGAAGCTTCTAAATGTAGGAAGACTCCTCTTCCCTCAGAGAGGCATTTACCTGGTCGAGTACTCGCTAAGCACCTCCCCCTTTGTGAAGAACAGATACACCCACGTGAAAGGTGAAGTCAGGTATGAAGTCAACTGTTCGGGTATCTATGAACAGGAGCCTTTGGAAATTGGCAAGACTCTGGAAATAAGAAGAAGAGACATCATCGACTTGGAAGATGAAGATGTTGTGGCAATGACCAGTGATTGTGATGTTTATCAGACCCTGAGAAGATACCATCAAAAGCTTGTTTCAAGGGAGGAGAAAAGCTTCCCAATAGCCTATTCTTTGGTTGTTCATAAAGATGCAATTATGGTTGAAAGGCTGATCCATGCTATATACAACCAGCACAATATTTACTGCATCCATTATGACCTGAAGTCACCTGACACCTTCAAGGTTGCCATGAATAATTTAGCTAAGTGCTTCTCCAATATTTTCATTGCTTCCAAATTAGAGACTGTGCAATATGCCCATATTTCCAGACTCCAAGCTGATTTAAATTGTTTGTCAGACCTTCTCAAGTCTTCAGTTCAATGGAAATATGTTATCAACCTGTGTGGGCAAGACTTCCCTTTGAAGTCAAACTTTGAATTAGTGTCAGAGCTGAAGAGACTCAATGGAGCAAATATGTTGGAGACAGTGAAACCCCCAAGCAGTAAAATGGAAAGATTCACTTATCACCATGAACTCAGACAGATGCCTTACGAATATGTGAGGCTACCAGTGAGGACAAACATCTCGAAAGAAGTCCCCCCTCATAACATTGAGATATTTGTCGGCAGTGCTTATTTTGTTTTAAGTCGAGCATTTGTTAAGTTTATTTTCAACAGCTCCCTCGTTAAAGACTTTTTTGCCTGGTCTGAAGATACATACTCACCTGATGAGCATTTTTGGGCTACGTTAATTCGGGTACCAGGAATACCTGGGGAGATTTCTCGGTCAGCCCAGGATGTGTCTGACCTACAGAGTAAGACTCGCCTTGTCAAATGGAATTATCACGAAGGCCTTTTCTATCCCAGTTGTACGGGTTCTCACCTCCGAAGTGTGTGTATCTTTGGAGCAGCAGAATTAAGGTGGCTTATCAAAGATGGACATTGGTTTGCTAATAAATTTGATTCTAAGGTAGACCCTGTCTTGATTAAATGCTTGGCAGAAAAACTTGAAGAACAACAGAGAGAGTGGATCGCATTGTCTTCAGCAAAGTTATTTATGGATAAAAATCCCACAATCACAACATGATGAAGTCATGATGGAAACAAGGAGGGGTTAATATGGAGTTGTAGACTGTACGATGTCCAATACCAGCTCAGCTGAACCTTGTAGTTTGAAAGGTATCTAAAATTTCATGCACAAGGGAAAATGACAGCCTTTGGTGACAATTTAGCCTAAAGTTGGTTGAGCACTTTTTATGTTTCTGCCTGTAATCTAACTGGGCTAAATTGGAGATCTTAAACAGCCATCAGATATTTACTGAGCTCCTACTGTATGCCAGGCACTTTTATAGAAATGAATGGCAATTAAGTCCAAGTTTTAATGAGTTTTCCAATGTCCTCAAGGGACTGTGTCTTACCCTACTCATACAGCAACGTTAACATCTTAAGTTCTCCACATAACAATCAGGACCCCGTTGAGGAAGTTTTGGAGTGTGTGGTAATCACCCATATAAACCACTCACTTCAGAACAACAATTAAGTACAGTAGCCAGCACTCCACCTGCTTCGTAATTGAACCCGCTTGACTTTTCCTAACCATTAGAATATTAGGAGAGACTTCCTTACCTCAGAAGAGCTCAAAGAATCTTCCGGTTTCCTGCTTGCTGAATTTACCTTTTGGTGCTTCACTCAAACAATCCAGGGTCAGGGGACTCTTTGGGTGTGGCGGTCACGGTGTCTGAATGTTAGGGACGCGGCTGGAGTGAGTAGAGGGATCTGGACACATGGTGCCCGAAGAGAAACAAAGGGATTTATATGACTTTCACATCATTTTACACAATGGTGCCATGATGGCTCCTGTTTAATTCAGCTGTTTCTTTAAAGCACATTTACGGATTAAAGATGAGAGCTGATTAACACTCAAAGTGTTATATTCCAGAACATTGGACCTAAGTCATCCAGGTCATAGATTATCATTACATGTAAGTTGCACAAAGTGAAATTATACTAATTCCACAGTAATCAATCCAGCGTGAGACTCCTTGGAAGAGTGAAGTATTTAAGTACTGTTTAAAACGCCTGTGATCTAAATGTCTGCGAAATGAACTTTGCTCGTTTAAAGTTTATGATACTAACTGCCAAGTGGCACCGTTGTCTCCCTTTCTTCTCTTGAACTTGTTTTTCTTGCTTCCTTTTACCTGCCCCCTTCAAATTACTGTATTCGTCAGAAAACAATGATTACCAGCTCCTTGTTCTTAAAAATAAGGAACTGTTGGGGAGAGCTGAGTCCTGCAGAACATCCTTCCCAGGCCATCACTGTGTGTGACCAGGAAAAGCTGTCGCTTTGGTCTGGACGAGCCTGCTTTCCTGGTCTTTGGAGTGAGCATTTGGGTACCTACCCTGGTTTCTTCACAAGTTTTGTGTGTGTCTGAGAGAGTCACTTGAATAGTATATGAAGTGTTTTTAAAATAAGGACAAACTATTGGAAATGTCAGAGAACAGCCTTAGAATAAGGCTAACCAAGATCCAACACCATGGTAAGACTTAACCATTTACCTTTTCTGAAAAACCTTTGAAATATACAAAGAAGCCACGACCACAGGAGCAACTTCTGTAACCAAGTCCAGGTACGAAGAAAGTGCAGACACCACACCAGAGGGTTCTTTCTAAGCCAACAGGGTTAGCAAGTCGGTCCTGTGACTGAGACTAGGAGGAGGGGTTCAAGTGCTCTCTGTCAGCCAGGCTTGAATACGCTAGGTCCCGAGGAAATCTTGGATTTTAGGCCTTTGGTCATCAGAATAAATGCAAATGCTTAACAATAAATATCGACCTCCCGGTCCAGTGTCTTGCCTCTGATGGGGAATGATTCTAGTCCTTGTTTATTGGGAAATTTGCCAGTTATTAATGAGTCTTAATTCTGTGTTCAAACAACACATGGAACCATGAAGAGGTGGCAGAGCCTTCTTTTCCCCACTTAGAGACGCATTTCTCGGGCACTGTTGCCTGGTCCTGCAGGAAGCTGGCCAGGACCTGCTTTTGCCTCGGGAATCCTGCAGGATCCCTGCAGGCCTTCCAGCCTGACCCTTCCCCAAAACCTCTGGGCACGGCTCCCTCCAATCTGAAGAATGTTCTGCCATCTGTGTTTTATAATTATTCTTTGGATAGTATTTATTGAATCTACACTAAGTTATTTGGTGATGAGACCAGGACCTTGCAGTTTCTAAATTGTATCAGATAATATTAATAATGAAAAAGCTATAAAAATATACATATTATGTGAACAAACTACTGTAATATAATAAAAAGCATTCTTAATGTTTTTGTTATTTTAAGTGAAATATTTATAGAAATGTTTAAATTTGTAGAGTAAAATCTGAAGATTTCTCTTGCCTTCCAGAATGTGAATTTAGATATATTCTATGAAATGACAGCTTCTTTGGGAATATAAAGTGACTGTACCCTATGTATGTTACAGCTGTTTTGTCGTGGTTGATAATGGAATGAGAGTTTTAACTTTTTTTTAAACATTTTTATCAGCTGATCTCTGTCTCCTACTGTGTGTGCGTTACCATTTTCAAAAAACATTTCCCTTTATATGAGTTTTAAATAGATTGGTATTGCATTTTGTATTTGCTGCTACCAGATGTTAATTCTCCAGTATTGTAAAATAAAATGTGCTCCAAAAACCAAGCCCTTGGAATTTATGATGTTTCCTTTCCCAGGTTGTGCTGGTTCCCCCAGAGGCTCTTTGCGTTTTTGACACGTGGCCAGTGTGTGAAGGGCGCAGTCAGTTTCACTTCACAGTAGAAGAAATCCAGTGTGTGTACTAAGTACAGACAGAATATCTGGGCACACAAGCACAAATTGTTTAATTTGGCAAAATCTCAAAGAATCTTCCAGAATTCCCTGTCTTCATTTTCCCTTCAGGTTGGTTTCTCCTCTACGATTAATCATCTAGATAAATATTCTTGTTTGCTTGACTACATTATGGAAGTTGGTTCTTAAAAGAGTAGGTTGAGCTCTCTAACTCATGTTCCTCGATCCCTGGGAAGTCCAGACTTGCATCAAGACTCCTGCCTGGCTGCGAGCCCTGCGGACATGAGGACCCTGGCTCCTTGGGTATCCTCAGGCCTGGGTGGTGGGTAATTCCTAGGAAGCTGCTCTACGTCCTGGAGTGCAGGGCCTTTTCCAGCTCCGCTAGGCTGGGGAAGAGTGGGCATCGCTGACCCCCACGCCCCGACTCTGCTCTGGAAATCCCCTGATCTGTGGTTTTCTTTTGTCACCCTTTGTAAAGCCTGGACAGGCCCCAGCCTCCCCAGCCGGCGAGAGGCATGCATGTCACACTCATAGGTTACAATCCATCTCAAGGAGTAGGCTCATTTTAGCAATCTTCAACATCAGAAAACAACTAGTCTTAACCTAAGATTAGTTCTAGCCCTTGCCAAGCTGCACAGCCGTACAAATCATAGTAATCTCATGGGAGAAGGCGGACTCTTCTTGGTAGTGGTGGTGGTAGGTGGGTAGGTATATACAGCATCATATTAAAGAGCCATAGGCTTGACTCCTGGATAGACAGTTTCATATATTTTAAGTTTCCTTTGATGTCTACAAAGCTACGTTTAAACTAGGTCTACTGGCTTCTTCTCACATGAAACTGATTGTGAAGAAACCCTGGCAAGAAAAGGTAAAGGCCTACAAATCTATACCTACTAGAAGAATATCCCTATGATGATGCTTAGCAAACAGCTTGAGCTTTGCTTCAGAGACTGGTGTGTAAGGACCACAGGAAGACTATCCTCCTGAGCTCAGGTGTGGTCTTCATGGGGAGCAGCACCGTCCTGCCTTCTCAGGAGCACCTTGCCCTGAATCATGCAGAGGACAAAAAGAATCTAAGAAAAAATCACGGTTCATGATCTGGGTACATTTATTTTATTTTTTTATTGTTGTTGCTGTTGTTTCTCATAGAATAATAAAGGAAATTTAACAGAAACCCTTTGTAGTCATAATTCTACCGTCTTCATAAACACATTATAATTCTTTGAATACTCTTCCAATCTTATCCATATCCATATCCATATACATTTTTTTGGTCTTTCTTCCCACTGCCTGTATATTTGCAACCACTTTCCTGAGCTGCTGCATGACCTTTATGGCTATCAACTAGTCATACAATAACTTACTCAGAATTTGAAGCTACTTTTTTTGTTGTTTTGCTGTCAAATAACAATGCTGTGAATAATTTTATGCATAAAGCTTCTTTCCTTGAATCAGTTCCTTATGAAACATTTTCAAGAGAGGGATTACCTCCCTGAAAAGAATGCATTTTTTATTTTTCTTATTTTTTTACTGATTGCTTTTCATATATATTACAAATCACCCACTCAAAGAATTATATAGGACACTTGGAGTAAATCAACCACAGCCTCAATGTATATGAAATAAATTGTATTTGTTTATTCTGATAAATGGCTGTTCTGAGTCCCATGGTGAGCAAAGACCTTTGCCTAAAGCAAGAATGTAGCCATTCCTCCAGCAGATCAAAGAATCTGTTTTAATGTGTGGTTAGTGTAGAGCTCCTTCAGAATAATAATCTCAAAAATGTAATTTTGATCACTGACTCCATTCCAGCAAGGATCTAGAAGTTGTTAGTTTCTGCTAGTACCCATTCTTCATGGCTTCTGTGTTCTTATTCTGAGCAACACTATGACCAACGATTAATTCCCAGCCTTCAATTCAACTAGGAGTGGCAAAGAAGAGAAGCAGAAGTCTTTGGGTGGGGCATCTGAGAATGCGCTTAAAGCATGGCTTACCTAGCTTGTCTTCCACCACTTCTGTTACTTTGTTTCTGCTGCCTGGAATGTGTTCGTAATAGCTGGAATATCAGCAGTCATTTTGCAACCATGAAGATGCGAGTCATATGGTAAGAACAGAGTAAAAAATATGACATTTGAACCATCCAAGACTACCTACTTCCAGGTTTCTTTTATGGGAGAAAGAAAAAATGGACATGAGCCTTAAACTACTGTTATTTCAAGTCTCTACTATTAACAACAGAACATTACACAATGTTTTTCTAGGTGAATGGTT